TAGAGCAGGTATTTTCTTAGTGTAATTTCTTTATTTACAAAATGTACACAAATTCTGTCCTCTTGAACGGGGTGGTGACAAAAGGGGACTGAACAACTCCTCGCAGAAACTTTCAGGTAAGATACCTCTGTCCTGTCCCTAAAAGCATATGTCTTGCACCTCTATTTAGAGTCTCACACAGGTCTGAAAAGATTTTTTAGAAAAAGGATTGAAAATACTACTATTGTAGTTCTCCCCCCTTTCTCCCTCTCAGCATAACTTTTGTATTCAGGTTTTAAAGGTCCCATGTCGTACCTCTCTGTAGATAACACCAGGTAGATTGATAGCCACCAACAGCAGAGTCAAGCTGGACCAAAATTACTGAACCTGTAGGAGCACAAGTCTACTCACTGATGTTGCTTTAAAAGGTAAGTATGCTGAATGTGGATTTCCATTTTTCAGAGAATTCCTCCCATTGGGATTTTCCCCCTTTTACTGATGTGTTATGTGCTATGTTTGTCCTACTCTACCAATATAATGGTATCTTTATGGCTAATTTAGGGAATTTCACTGAACTCAGAGTGGTCTCTGGTGAGCATAAAATGAAGTTAGTGCGGGAATTACTAGTAAGGTTGGCAAAACCATATTCATCTTACACCCATTGCAATTTGCCAAGGATTTTTGCTTACCACCATTCCAGGGAACCTACTCTATAGGATTGTTACTTTAATTGTAGCTCCACTTCCTCACTACTGATGCTTTCTGAGCCCTTAGTGGCCAACCAGTTAGACACTAAGAGCCAAAAGAGCTGTGGATAGCAAAGAGCCACACATCCCTCCCCCAGAGCCAGGCACCCCAGTCTCCCCCACTCTAACCCAATACCCTCTCCCTTCCCCAGGCCCCCCCAGCCCGCCCCCAACTCCTACCCAATGCTCTCCCCCTCTCCCAGAGCCAGCCCCCCCAGGCCCCTCCCATTTTAACCCAATGCCTGGGTCTCACTGGAGCTCCCACCTCCACAGCCATGCACTTCTCCTTCCAGGAACTGGGACGCGTTCACAAAGCGGGCACGTGGCTCTGAATCAGCCATAAACCTGAGAGCAGCATTTTTGTGAGCAAAGAGCCTCATGCGGCTCAAGAACCACAAGTTGGCCTCCCCTGCCAGCTTGATGTGTTCCATTCACCTGTAAGAGCTGTAGGGAGCAGAGGTGACAGGAAGCACCAGTGTTATTGGATCTTTCCCCTGCTCCACTTCCTCATGTGTTAGATCCCCTTTGCTTGCAGCAGTTAAGCCTTGGACTCTTGTGCGATGTCTGCATTGCAATAAAACACCTGCCTTTGGTCCACGTCAGCTGCCTCCAACTCATGGTGCACAGCTTACAGGGCTATAAAATTGAGCATTCCAGAGCTCAAGCTCCAGCATAAGCCCAACTGTCTACAACACCCTTGTTTTACAGTTCCTGAAACCCAGCTAGTGAGCCCACGTCTGCAGACCTGGGCCAGCAACAGGTGTTTTGTTGCAGTGTAGACATGCCCTTAGTCCTTCTGCTGAAGATATAGTTGATTTAAAAGGAAATTTGCCTCGGAGAGTTATTTTCAGGAGCACAGGATGGCACTGAAAACAAACTAATGCTACAGAATCTGCATCTACCTACAAGGATTAAAAAAAACACACTTCAATTATTTGCCATAAACAGTCTGACTGTCTATCCAGCACCTGCATTAATTGCCTGAGACAGCCCTCGCTGGGTCTAGAAACTATTTCAAAGGGTTGTAAAACAGCGTTTTCTTTTGTGAATATGAGAAATGAATACCTTTCTCTCCAACCTCTTGGGCATAATCAAATTCTCATGGCTACAGATAAAATTATATTTTCTCCTCAAATCAAGTGCAATCCATCTCACTTTTTGTCTCCCTTGCTCTGCCTGCCATGCCAAACATAACTGTCATTTGCAAAAAGAATGAAGAGCTTTACTTCTTTCTGCAGTATGTAGAGCTAAGGGAGTCATAAACCAGCCATTTAACATTGCCCTCTTCACTTGCTGCTCTTTTGGCATGTCACTGGCATGTATTTTTGGCAACACGTGGATCATATTACTCGTGCCCACTTTGTATGTCTGAAATGTGCACGGACAGTGACTAATTAAGGGTGGCGTCTGTTTCTCTAAGGCATGTAATTTTTAAAAAGGGTTAAGGACAGGTCCACAGCTGTTGTAAACCAATGGAGCAGAGTGGATTTGCACCAACTGAGTATCTGTCTCGTCTAGAGGGTGCGTCAACACTGTACCTGTAGCTTGAAATAAGCTATACCTCTTGAGCTATGCAAATTACATAGTTTATTTCAAATACATTTTGAAGTAACTTATTTTGAAATTAATCACTATTCTGAAATGTCCATTACTCCTTGTGGAATGAGGTTTACAGGGACATTGGAATAGTGAGCCCATTATATTTTGAAATAACGGGTGCGCTCAAAAGACGTGGATTAGCTATTTTGGGATACCAAATAACAGTTCAGTGTAGATGTCGTCTGTTTAACAGTAAGGAGCCCCCCTTTCCCTTACTGATGAGTTAGCGGGTGGATCCCCTTCTTTGTCCTCTTTGCCATGCACTGGAACAGTTGCTACCATGCTACCTGCTTGTCCATTGCTCTCATTTTCCATATATACTTTTTCTTTCTGTCCTTCTCTGAGTCTCTTTTCAGTTTCCTCTTTCAGGTATTTTTCTATTTTCTCTCTAATCTCTTACTCCCTCTGCATGCTCACTCTCTCTCCCACTCCTCAGAGGATATTTGCTGATCGCATGCATGGGACATCCCTTGCAACTTTTGACAGGCAAGGTTGAATTGAGTGTATGGGATCAGACAAGCAATGCTTAGGGCAGTACAACATATGATGTCAGCTTTTTTTTTTTTTTTAAAGTCACTGGGAGTTTTGCCACTAACTTAAGTGCATTTGTCACTGTATTCTTTTGGAAGCTACAAAAAATCATTGAGGGTAAAGTCCAGTGATCACTGAAGCCAACAATCAAGCTCCTATTAAGTATGATTGGATTATAGATGGGGCACTGGAATTCCCCAGTGGGGGTGTCAAAAGATATGTAATTGCTTTTCTATTGTTCATGAAAATTATTTTACTTATATATACTGGCTAGTCCCAATTTATGGCTAACAACCCACAGGAATGAGCAAGCTTCAGTAAATGAATTTAAATGATATATTACTGCATTAAAAAAAGTTGCGTTCCTTTTTACATCAGAAGGCATTCTCATGATGCTGTACCATATATTTATGGTAGCTGACCATTGTGGTAATGTTTAAATTAAACTGAGAACAGGACACTATGGCTATGTCTACACTCAATAGTTATTCCAAAATAGCTTATTTCGAAATAGTATGTCTACACTTCAGGGAAGCCTCAAAATTAGTCTGATGCAGGCTTCTTTAATGTAGACATGCTATCTGGATTTAGAGCCCCAGGAGGAATAACTTACAATGGCCCTGGTAAAGGGCTATTTCAAAATAGCAGAAGTGGAGCGTCTATACATTCCTTATTTTGAAATAGCTGTTTCGGAATAGGCGTTATTCTTCATAGAATGAGGTTTACAGAAGTTGGACTAAGCCATCCATAATTTCAAAATTATTACAAAATAATGGATTTGCTATGTAGACACTTGCATAGTTATTTCGGAATAATGGCTGTAATTCCAAAATAAATTTGGTGTGTAGACACACCCTAAGGTATTAGATTATACATAGCCTACAGACAGTATTTATGAGTACTCTAATTTTTAAAACTGCTATTTTCAAACAGAAGGACAAAATCTAGTCAATTTATCAATAAATCATGTGCTCATTAGACTTTCATTACTATATACTTTGATCTCCTAATTCAGGAATAAAAGTAAAGTTTTCTTCGTGTATCTTTAGACTAAACTCTAAAACTGAGTCTTTTGTAGGATGAATTGAAGTGACTTTCTTTCAGAATGTTTTCTATGTGTTTTATGATGTTTACTCTTTTTTTTCCCTGGGGCAAATTTAGTGTTTGATCTTTGAAGTCCAAGTAGTTGTCTGCTGGAAATTATTGGAAGTTTTCTGACTTCAACAAACATTCAACGCATACCTAGCCAAGTCTTGGAATAGTTTTCATACAGGCTATACGTAATTTGCCTCTAGAGGCAATTTAACAGGTGACTTTATTGCATCAATGTCTTGATTTATTAACAGCCAGTCTCATTTTTGAAAATAAGACTAATAATTCCTTGGGAAATTGTACTGCCTGAGGTTAATTCATTAGATAACACTAGTCCAGATTTCATTTCTCAAGAGCCTCAAATATTGTTTTCTTTAGCACACTCTAATGAAAGGAATGATAATACTTTTAAAACAATTTCATACTAAACTAACAATTACTGAATACAATTTAACTAAGAATAATGCATCACACTATAGTATGCTTTGGTAATTATTTAAGGAATTGTAATGATATCGTTTAAATCAAATATCAAGGAAAATCAATCAGTATGTTTTGCAGGCAAAATGAATTGAATCACTGAGAACTGAGCCATTGTAATATATAGCTTAATGATAACCCAGTCTGAAATCATGTTATTTTTGGTTTAAAGGTGGTGGAACTTCATCTTGTTACTAACTAAGGGTGTGTCTGCACAGCACCCTTACCTTGAAATAAGCTACGCAATTTGTGCTATGCAAGTTGCGTAGCTTATTTCGAGGTAATTTCAAACTATCTTATTTCGAAATTTGGCACTGTCTACAGAGCGCCAAATTTCAGAATAAATCACTATTCCAACAAGTCCCTTAACCCTCATGGAATGAGGGTTATAGGGACGCTGGAATAGCACGCCCATTATTTCAAAATATATTTTGAAATAGGCACGTTTAAAGACACAGAGTTGCTATTTCGGGATACTTCTGGAATCTAGAAATAGCCCTGCTGTCTAGACATAGCCTCACATATATAGTTAAAAGCAATGATGCACTGAATTTGAAAAGAATCACTAAGGAGGAAAGTCTGTGTTGCTGTTGCTGGCCATGGTGGTATGAAGAGTTTCACATTTTTTTGAAAAATGTTTAGAATCAAATTAACCTCTCTCTAATATGTCTTTGTCTTAGGCAGCAACTCTAGTGTATCTATGTGTCGGATGTTCAGAGATGCCATTTCCTAGCAACTAAAAATGCTAATTCATGACTTTGATTAAATTGTCTGGGCTAAGTCAGGCCTCAAAACTGTCTTTTTATGCCTTGGATTTATTTCTCCATTAAGATGTAAAAGAAGGGGTTATTGCTGCAGTTCAGACATCACATCAGTCTAGGTAAGTCATACAGATAGAATTTAAGGAGAAAAGAAAGGAAACAAGTACAATTGTGCAGCTTCTTTGTAATCTTCATATGGATGAAATGCATGTTGTTAGTAAGACCACTTGTCTTGAGGCATTTATACTCCACATAACATGTTTCTACCACATATAACAATATAAATCCTAAGGATTTATCTATTTAATTTGCTTAGGTTTATAAAACAAGAGGCGTCTTTCTAAAGAAACAACAACTCTGTCATAACATGTAATAGTACTAACAACCAGTCAATGTGCCCGCATGTGCACATGTGCGCGCACACACACACGCACACACACATGCACACACACACACACACACACACACACACACACACACACACTCAGTACAATTCACTATATCCTGCTATAATATTTGCTTTGTCTGAATCCCTTTTGAAAAGGGTTTATAACATTACTAATAGTCTATCTTCTCTATCTCTTCTAAACTGAACCTGCCTCTCATAGATATTTCTATGGCATTGGTCAATGTACTATCTAGCAGCTGTTCACAAAGAAACAACTGAAACAGCACTGTTGAAAAATCAGTGACAGTAGATGTAGCAATATTCAAGAGAGAGTTGGGGCAATAGGAAGGAATCCCAAAAATTCAACAAGTTGTTAGAATGTAGATGTTAATTATAGCATTGTAAAGGACTAAGGAAGCTTACAGTCTGCAGACATTTAAAGATCCAATGAAACGATGTTTTGTTGAAAATGTTTCTATATGTTATGTTTAGAAACAATCCTAAAGACATAGGCACAGAAACACATTTGTTTCTAAACATAGCCTTTCTTCCTACTGGTCATTTCTCCCTATCATGTTCCAGTCACCAACCGTGGGTTACAAATTGAGGACCATGCATATAAATAGCAGGAGCAGACCATCTCCTAAAAAATGAAGATTCTGTTTACATGCAACCATCCCTGAAGATTTATTTTCTAAAGGTAAAATCTTTCTTTCTCTTCCTCTCAGCAGTCATGATGTACTGGCACACAAGGAATTTTCCCCATGAGGTTACAGCAGGTTTAATACCATTGTATTATCTTGTATGTGTGACTGCTTTCATTAATATTAAAGGGAATTGCACACTTTCAATGAGGGAGGAGTCAATCCTGAAAAGACATGTAGGATTTGGTCCTCTCACTTACCTATTTGAAATGTTGCTAACTTTGAAATTATCTTCTTGTCAGAGACTGTTTAGAGCTCAGTGCAAAAATACTATCCTTTAGAATAACCAACGTCACTAGCTTTGCAGAATTTGGATTTTTTTTCCTGTTGGTTTTCACATTCAGAGAGGCATTTTTTAAAAGTGAATTGAGTTTTCAAAATGTTAATAAGCAGCTTAAAGACTATCATCTTTAGCAACAGTAATTACAGTGCTTTTACACAATTTACATTGCAGTTGCTGAGCCAGTGAGTTGGCTTTGCACTAAATTCATACAACTTCCTGTGGAATGTGATTCCCTCTTTGGTCCACAGCAGCCCAAGTTTGTTAGCTGTTAGGATATGCTGCAAGGCCCCACTTTCCTCCCTTGGCCAAATGGCCACAGATAGGACAGGATAGTGGTGTGTGCAGGTTCTGGTGAGGATTGTATGTGGGTGTTACATTCCATTAAGTTATATCTATGTTATTACAGGGGGTAACTCACAGTCTATTTATCAGTGTATGCTTAAGCAGTTGCTAAGAAATCCCAGGCTTTGCCTGGATGATCTTTTGTTGTACAGTAGTAAAAATGGAAATAGATAAAATTAATAGAGCAAAGATGAAACATGCATCCTTTTAAGGCGATCATATTGTTAAACTGAGAATCCCCACTCTTCTGGAAATTAGTCTCATTCAAGAACTGTTACAGCGTGGAGTAGTCTGCTGGAACTCTTCAAATAAAGAACATTAAATATGTGCCTGGATTTACTTACATGGGCCATTTCAGTCACTAACAGGACTACAAGTACTGTGCTGAGAAACGAAAAGAAAAGAAAAGAAAAGAAAAGAAAAGAAAAGAAAAGAAAAGAAGGGCATTGAGAATTTAGGAGAAGAGTAAAAGTGCTAGGATCACAAGCTTACATAGGTGACAATTAGTGTGTTTCAAACCCAATAGATATAATTTTTCTCTTAATTTCCTTGGATTTCATCCAATTGCCCTTTGATTCTCACTGATGTTTATTGCTTTAATTGTCATAATGTATTTGACCAAATTTTGCCCTCATGTACAACTCCCCCAATGCCGAGCCTAGTAGATTTTGTGTGCTCCAGCCTGCAGGTGGGTGGATGGGGAGCTGGAGTGCCAACATGGGCTCCCCAATGCTGAACCTTAGGGGCCAGATCCAGGCAAGCTGGGAGAAGGGGGTGGGACGGGGGGTGTGCATCTGGCCCCAGGGTTTGAATTTCCCCACCTCTGGTCTAGGCATTTGTTTGTTTCCTTTAATTTTCTTATGTTTTGAGCATGGAATGATTTTTTTAACATCAAATATAGACTGCACCTCCACCATTCTTTGTAGTGTGAATCTTAAAGTTAGACCACCCTCCGCTACAGTGTTTTAAAACTTTTTTCTTTATAGAGAAAGGATTTAAATTTTAGCCATTTAAATTCACTTCAGGCTGACAGTTGACATATTGCCTGTAGTTCATTACATTAACACCTGATGAAGCCTTGCTGAGCTCATTTGACTACCAGAACTCTTCTAATTCATGACTATTTCATAGCTGATAATACTGGTATCTGAACTCTGAGGAAACACTAGGGCTCCATCTGGACTGCAAGCCTCTTTCGAAAGAGGCTTTTTCAAAAGATACTTTCGAAAAAGCTTCTTTCGAAAAAGAGGAACTAGACTACAATCAGTACTTTCAAAAAAGCAAACTGCTTTTTCGAAAGAGAGTACCCAGGCAGTCTCTCAGTTTGCATTACATAGTGCCTTTTTTCGAAAAAAGGCATTATTCCTCGTGAAATGAGGAGTACCGCCGTCGAAAGAAAAGCCGCTTTGGAGGCAGGAAAAGGGAATAAGAGAATTTGTGTGCAGCCATCTTGGTCTTGTTAACAAGAGAGCAAGAGTCTGGCTAAGTCTGTGGCCTGACAACGCGAGATCTGTAATTAGACGCTGCCTTTGCCTCTCGCCTCCATATGGAGATAAGGATAGAACGCTGACTCTGGCAGGGACCTTGAGATAAGGAGCATCTGGGCGGAACTAAAATAACTGTTAGCCATTGGTGTTTGTAATGGGAAGGAGACTAATTGTTATTGTTATATATCTAATGTATATAAACTGCTTCATAATTGCTTGTATTGGAAGATCTCCCTCGGAGGGCTTCCCCCCCATCCGAACCAGTTTTTCCCTTGCTGCAGCTCGTAATAAAACTGCCTCTGGCTACTTGTTGCTTACAAACACAGAGTGAGGACAATGTTTTCTTCCACACTGTGTTTTTTCAATTTAATTTCGAAAGAACGTGGCTCTAGTCTAGACGCAAGTGAAGTTTTTTCGAAAAAAGGCTACTTTTTTTTTAAAAAACCCTGCAATCTATACACAGCCTAGGAGGCTTAACTGTGGCCTGGCGTGCACTAAATTATTTCCTGTGTTTTTTATGTTCAGAACTGCTTTTAAAAAATTATTATAAAATGCAAATAAACCAAAGATGGCCTTTTTGTTGTCGTGGCGTTGTTTTGTTTTTACTTTATGTTAACCTTGGGGCCTTAGTTCTCAAAAACACATTTTCTATTGACGTCAGTGGGGCTTGGGCATAGGTTAGCATAAAACACAAGGTAAAGAGCATTCCTGAATCAGGCCTTTAAAAATAGGACTAGAACATAGGAGTTTAGAGTGTGATGATGATGTTGCTATCTATCTGCACTGAAGAAAAAGAGACAAGGTGGGTGAGGTAATAGCTTTTATTTTATCGACTTCTGTCAGAGAGAGAGAGAAGCTTGTATCTCCCACTGATGGATGTTGGTCCAATAAAAGATATTACCTCACCAATCTTGTCTCTCTAGTCTACTAAGACCAACCCCACTATAACAACACTATGTACTGAAGAAAAAGGACAAATAAGCCCTTCACCTTCTAATTTTCTTTGAGCTATAGAACAGCTAATCTGATTCTGCTAGGAGCAAGAGGGTGTCCCAAATAATAGTTCCAAAGAGGATGCAGAACAGGAGTTAATTGAACTTGGACAATCTGCCCAGTTACTACTTCAAGCTGGTGAAACTATAACAAAAAAGAAATGAAAGTCAATGTGCATTCAGAGCTCTCAGTACAGACCCATTAGTTTGTGCATTCTCTTATTTATTATAACTCTGGGCCTAACTCTCCAGCTCTGACTCTTAATGGGTAATGTTTACATGAGTACACGTTGAGTTTAATAGGACAACTCACAGGAACAAGTAATATGCAGAGTGAGCAAAAATTACAGAATATGACCCTAGTTAATTTGAAAATAGAGATACACATATATGTTATTATAGTTAAAAATGAGCTGCCATTATTTCAATGGAATTTATAAATGCCAATATGTGGCATAATGACTATGCTTACTAATGTATGAATGCCAACAACTCGTATCTTAGCAGTCAGATGCCTAATGACACTGGCATGGGGAGATAAAATAACCCAGAGCTGATGCTACAACATTAAGATATTTATAGAATATTACTACATTTTGCATCTTTGAACAAGAGGTAAGTTTCAGTACATAGGGCCATGCATAGCAGACATGTTAATTTCTATAGCTACATGCAATGACACACACATGAATTGCAAGCCTAAGTTTCAGAGAGGTTAGTTTGTTTCAGCAAAACTCTTCATTGTTTAAGCCTGAGCGTAAAACAGTAATGTGTTATACAAAAGAGTCCCCAAATTGCTGGACATGACAAAAAATGAGGAGGGGAATCCATCAAAACCTTATCATTAGCTCTCTAGCTACAGCTGAGATACCTCTTCAGTTCCAAACACTGTTTCCAGGAATTTATGAATTGCCTTAGAAAATTACCTTTGGGGTTGAAATGTCTCATACTTTCTTGAATGTCAAAGTTGAGATTTAATCAGACAGAAGTGATGAGATCTGGAGTTCTGGTTTCTATATTAGCTCTACCTTGGCCTCATTTCACATATGCACTTAAAAGAAAATCCAATCTCATCTCCATAGCTGCAGAAATCCCACTGGCAACAAAACTTGTGCAGTTCTCTTATGTAAGGGAGGTGTAGCGAGGTCCGTCTGATGCCACCCTACGGCCCCCGCCTCCTCCAAGTCTGTTCCCTTAAAGTCCCGCCTCACGTTCGGCATCTCTCAGCTGTGGTCTCGCCCCCGGCTCCTGCCCGTCACCAGGGCGCGTCACCAGCCGGTGCCATGCCCGTCCAGGTGGGTTGTTTGTGGCCGCCGGGCTCTGTCTGTCTGGACCCCGCTCCCCGCCGGGTTCAGGGGTGCCAGCCCGGGCGCCGCCTGCTCGGGGCTCCTTCCGCCCTCCGTCTGCCTCGGGTCGTCCTGCGGGGTTGGAGAACACAACCAGCTCCTGCTCTCCTCCCCCCTCCCAGCTCCCAAACTCGCCCTTTTGGGCCTCCTGGGTGGTGCTCCACCCCCCTACGCTCGCCGTGCCAGGCGGCCCGTCCGGGGGCCTACTGCCCCCCCGCCCGGAGGCCCGCCGGCCGGCAGTTCTGGGCAG